GCTGTGCCTGGCTGTGCCTGGCTGTGCCTGGCTGTGCCTGGCTGTGCACTGACCCTGCTTTCTTCCAGGACCTCATCAAGGTGCACCACAGCTTTCTGCGGGCCATTGACGTGTCCATGATGGCTGGTGGCAGTACCCTGGCCAAGGTCTTTCTGGAGTTCAAGGAAAGGTGAGTGACAGCTGACTACATCAGCCTCAGCTCTGTCTTCAAGGCTCGGGAGACCATGTGGGCCACTCTCCCCCAGCCCAGGCAGGATGACAGAGGCAGGGCAGTTCACTGGGGTGTAGCCTCCCATTCTGGGGACCCAGGCAGGTGGCCACTGTTTCTCCATCACAGCTTGGAGGGCTGGGTACCTCCAAGCCTCATTTAGATAGCAGGAACTTGTGGGGTCCCTGCAACCCTCTCTGGCTTGTTGAGTTCATGGTGGTTGGTGTTTGTAATGAGACATGGCAGCCCGAGTTCCTTGACCTGTTCTACTCCATTTCTGACTCTCGGATGCTGCAGACCAGAAATAGCGGCTCACAGGCTGTTTGGGAAGAAGTGCCCACTCTTCAGTGGGATCAGAACTTGGTGTCCAGAGGTACAGCAGCTATACCTCCTTGCAAATGCCCTGGTTTTAGCCATTCTGTTTAGAATTGGAGGGAGGCTGAAGCTGATCTAGAGCAGAGGTGGAATTCCATGTCCTCAGCATCACAAGAGAGACCCATACCTTCCAGGGCCACAACCCCAAAGCTTTGAAGGGTTTCCTCAGTGAAGGCGAGTCATTTATTGTTGTCATCATCATCATGTGTTGCCCCCAATGCCCCAGTTTCCTTAGGGGACAGTGATCAGATAGATCAGATATACCAAGGTAGTAGGCTTGTATTTCAGGATGAACTGGTGTTGTCTGAGACGTGTGGAGTTAAGGGTGTGCCTCTGTGGCCTTATTTCCAAGTTGTAGGTGGTCCCCCCCTTGTTTTTAATTATGTGTACATGTGTACACGAGAGTGCAGGTGCCCACGGAGGCCAGAAGAGGGCATCAGACCCCTCTGGAGCTGGAGTTATAAGTGGTTATAAGCCACCCAATATGGGTGCCAGGAACCAAAAACAAGCCCTCTGCAAAGACCTGGAAATATTCTTGACCTCTGAGCCACCTCTCCAGGGCCGATATTTTTCTTAGTAGTAAGTACTACGTGCTGAAGGTTTAGATGAAGGCCTGCTCACTCTTACTTCCATAGACAACTTCCTCTGTCTCTCTCAGAATGAGCCATTTGTTTAGTTTTGAGGAACAGTAAAACTGTCTCTAGAGTTTATGTAAGGATAGAGGGTCAGAGGAGTGTCTGCAGGAAAGCCCCTTATTGCTGTACCTAAGGCTTCAATGTCAGAAGTAGCAGGGTGTGGTGATTCCTGAACTGAGCATAGGTGACAGCATGGGGTTATGCACACTGTAAGAGACACAGGATTTCTATACTGTCCAGTCCCACAGCTGTTCAGTCCCCAAAAAACACACAAAGACCTACATTAATTATAGACTGGTTGGCCTATTAGCTCAGGCTTCTTATTAACTCTTATAACTTACATTAACTCATAACTCTTGTCTGTGTTAGCCACGTGGCTTGGTACCTTTATCAGTGAGGCATTCTCACCTTGCATCCTCTACATCTGGGTGACAACTGCAGACTGAGCCTTTCCTCTAACAGAATTCTGTTCTGATTGCCCACCTATATTTCCTGCCTGGCTACTGGCAGGAATCAACATTTTATTAAGCCAACACAAGTGACAAATCTTTAGGGTACAAGACCATTGTCCCAAAGCAGGATATGAGGCTCATTCCCCCACCTCTTACATGTGCTAAGCAAGCTCTCAACCTCTGAGCTACATTCATCCCCAACTCCCTTTGAAGCCTGCAGCTTTTCTCCTGCTTCTGCTGGGATTGCAGGCATGCATCTGTTGGGATAGGTAGCTACAGAGATGGCACATGGGCCTGGGTGGGGACAAAGAAGGGAACAATATATGGAGCAAAAAGGTCATCTGAATGGCATGGGGAGATGGTGACCTGGTGGGGTATGGCAAGGAGGGGAGCAGGGGACAGCAGAAGGAGAAAAGGGGCTGGCCAGGGCTGCTGGGACCCTGTTGCTTCTGCCTGGGCACAGGCCTTGCATATCTTCTGAATGCCGCCGCTGACACCCCTGCAGAAGACCAGTGGCCACCTCCATTTTGCATGGCCCCAAGGGTGAGCTTGAGCAATGAACAACCTCCATGCTAGACTTGGAGGCAAGCAGAGAGCCCCAGGAGGCAGGGAGTTTTCTGTTCCACGCATTTCTCTCCAGAATGGAGGTAGAAGCGTGGGTCATGACTTGAAGTAGGCCTGCAGGAGGTGCCCTTTGCTAATGTTTTGGGACTTATTCTCCTAACCTGATCATGTAGAGAATGAGGAGGAAATAGAAGGGGGCCAAGGGGGCAGAACCATGTGAGGCAGTGACCCCGAGGCTCTCCAACCTGCCTGGGAGGGAGTCAGGGCATTGCAGCTGCAAGTACCTTAGACATGCATGGGTGCATGTGTTCACATGCCTGTGTAGCATACAGGCTCCTAGCAGCTGCAGGTGTCTTACTTGATCTGTGCCCATGTGTGTGGCACCATGTACATGTTGCTGTCCTCTCCCCAGGCTCCTGATCTACGGAGAGTACTGCAGCCACATGGAGCATGCTCAGAGCACGCTGAACCAGCTCCTTGCCAGCCGGGAGGACTTCAGGCTGAAAGTGGAGGTAACAGGGCATCCCAGTGCCCTGGTCTGGCACAGCTGGCTGCTCAGGCCCAAGAAGCACACCAGCTTCCCTCAACAGCCATCTTTGGTTTTGTGTCCCCCAACCCCACTTTGTTTGGTGATTTCCAGAATTCATGTACCAAGCTAGAACACAACCTGGTGGCCCTTATGGGCTGTGGAGGCCTGGACAAGTCTCAATGAGTGACACTTGACCCTAGCCTCTGCTGATCCCAGGGTCTTTGATGGGACCTAGGTGACTTGCTTGATACATTGGGCCTCCTTCCCTCGCCCCAGTTTATCTGCCTTTACCAGCTTCTTTCTCCCTTGAGTGGCTTCCTGGCTCTTCCTCACCCCAGTGTCCCTATCCTGTGTGGTCTGGAAAGCTCCGTCTCCAGAGCTCCAGCTTGAGTGCCGGTGGCATGCAATGTTTGCTCCTCCTGTCCTGGCACCCCAGGGGACCCTAAGTGATCTCACAGCTTTGTGTGAGCCCCCCACCCCACCCCGACTTGGCTTGTCACGGAGCAGATGGCAGGTCCATAGGCCGTGTTCTGCAAGTCCTGGCCCCAAAGGCTCTGTTGGACAAAGGAGTGCCTCAGGTACCAGGGTCCCATCATGTGTCAGGATATAAGGAGTGGTATGGCCTGCTCACATGCTATGACACCCACCTGATGCATATTCTAGAGGTCCGAGAGTCCAGGGCTGAGGGCGCTTTCTCTATGTGGCTGGCAGTGGAGACGGGTTCTCCCAGCGAGGGTACCCCTCATCCACTCACTGCTCTCCCACACCAGGAGTGCACGCTCAAGGTTCAGGACGGCAAGTTCAAGCTGCAAGATCTGCTGGTGGTACCCATGCAACGGGTGCTCAAGTACCACCTGCTGCTCAAGGTGAGACCATCAGTCTGCTCGCTGTGCCCCTTGTCGCATGGGCTTGGTGGCATGGGCTTTGGCCCTTAGACAGGGTGAAACAAAGGCCGATGAAGGACTCTGCTCAGTACACACCACGACAGGGTATCATGGCCAATGAAGGACTCTGCTCAGTACACACCACGACAGGGTATCAAGACACCCAGTAGGATAATTATGACTAGAACAAATCAGAGGGTCAGAAAAGTGGGAAGAGATAGAAGACACCCTCAGACCAGAAGCAGGAGAGCCTCTGTGAATGGTTGCTTGAGTCTTACTGGCAGAGGTGTCCACTGTGTCAGGGGTCCCCATGTCTGCTGGAGTTGCACAGATTGACCTTATCCATGCTAGTGGGTGATTTTTGTCCTGAGGGTCTTGCTGTGTGCAGCACACCTTGCACTGGGTGGGGGCAGGGACGGGCAGGGCTGGGGATCCTGAGGGCTGACCTTGGGTCTCCTCTCACTCCCCTAGGAACTCCTGAGCCATTCTGCAGACCGGCCAGAAAGACAGCAGCTGAAAGAAGCGCTGGAAGCCATGCAGGTGGGTAAACTGAGGCAGAGCTGGGAAGTACTCAGATCTGCGTGTCTGTTCCTGGCTCCAGACTGAGCTCCTTGGCAATGGGGAACATTTATTTGCCCATGGCAACAGAGGCAGGACACGAGGGGTGGGGTGAGAGTCACATGATAGTGGAGGAAGCTACAGGCTAGGTGCTTTTTCTGTGTCCAAAGTCCCCAGCTTCACTTGCCAGTCGTTGCCCCTGTCCTCCAACTCCTGTGTGCCCCCTGGGGCCTGCCGTGGTTTTCAGGTGTCAGCTCTATTCCTGGAGTTCCCTCCTTTCCTCTGTGGCTTCTCCTGCTGAAGGTTTGTTCTGTGCCCCGTCCTTCTGGCACTTGCTTGAAGGTTCCTTTCCACGCACTGGCTTCAGGGACCCCATTCCTCCGTTGTCTGTCTTGTTCTGACCCCCTGCTGCCCTCTGAAGCTCAGCACACATCACTGTCCTGCTCAGAAACCGTTGTGGCTCCTGTTGCTCTCTGCATCAGGCCGAACCCTTCCCCTTGTTCTTAGGACTTTCACAGGGTCTTTGAAGATGTGGGTAACAGGAAACCCCCCCGATTACAGGCAAGCCTGGCCACCCCCAGCTTCCCGGGCATGCTCCATTCTTTCCCACCCCAAGGTATTTGCTCAGGCCATGTCCCCTTCCTCGTTAGCCTGCCCGTATCCCACTCATCCATCTTTGCCATGAACTTGACACTGCCCAAGAAAGTCACCTTCCAGACCCCTTAGTCCAGAGACTGTCAGGCTACCCCCAGCCGTCCCTGTGCCTCTCGTGGTCACTTGTGTCCGAGGCCAGCTACAATGCCCACACAGGCTAGGTCCCTCTGTGTGGTAGAAGCAAGTTAGCTTCAGCCTTGACATCTGACACCTGTCCCTAGGGAATCCTCTGGGCCCTGGACCTCTTTCTTTCCCTCATTTGAAGAGGGAGAAGATGCAGCCTGTCTCCCACGCAGCTGCCGGGCTCAGCGAGGAGGATGCTGTATCTCCAGCTGCCCGGAGCTCTCAGTGAGCAGGCCTCATGCAGCTGCAGAAGTCTGTGCCAGTTTGGGGTGTTCTTGAGCATGGGGGTCATGACCAACACAGGGATCTTTTGCTGGCTCCCCTGGGGAACCGAGGTCACCTGCCATGGCAGCAGAGGGACCAAGTCAGCTACCCATTCCTGGGACACGTGATCCATGGCTGCAGGTGCACCCTGAGCCCCAGCCTGGCCACACATTCCACTCCTCCATCGTTCAGTTGCCAGCCCGCAGGTGGCTTCTGGTCTCTTGTGGGATAGTACCCTGAGCGCAACTCCGGGCATTCCACAGAGAGCATGTGACTTCTGTCTGTGTCCTCCATGTCACTGAGTCAGCTCTTACGGCTTCAGTGTTTGGGAGGTGTCCTGGTTTGCTTTCAGTCACTGTGATAAATAGCACAACCCAAAGCAACTTAGGGGAAGAAAGGGTTTATTTTAGATTACACTTCCAGGTCAAAGTTCATCATGAAGGGAAGTCGGGGCAGGACTGTGGAGCAGAAACCACCGGAGGAAGGCTGCTTACTGACTCCCTCTGGCTTGCTTAGCTAGCTTTCTTGTGTAGCCCACCTGCCTGGGGATGGCGCTGCCCACAGGGGGCGCTCTCACCTCAGTCATCAATCAAGACAATCTCCTGCAGATGTGACCCCAAGACAGCGTGATCGAGGCAATTCTTCAATTGACATGTCCTCTATAAAAACTAACACAGAAGGGAATCTAAAAGCCTTTAATGTCCCCAGTGTAAGACAGAAAATCCTCATTCATCCAATGTCTGAGCTGTCTCTGCCCCAGAGCTGGATTTCCTACAGGGTGGCAATGTATCTTTTCTGTAAGGCTATGTCTTCTGCTCGTTGGCCGTCCTGCCTCTGGGGCTCTAATATCCGTCTCTGCGGGAATCCCCATCCCAGATCCAGCCAGGTGTGCACAGGGCCATGCATGCTCAGATTCTGTCCCCACTGTTGATTCAGAACCAAACCATCCTTTACAAAAATGCCTACAGTGTAATACAGTAGGGAGCTTCAGCCCTGCCAGGTGTGAGGCTTGGGGTGTGGTCTTTAAAGTGACCCCCAGAAGCATGTGAGGCCATGCAGGAGGTAGGAGCTGGCTCCAGGATGTGGGCCTGGCTCCTGTGTATTGGGGATTTCCTCTCTGCTTTGCTTTCTGGGCAGGATCATTGCTGTACTGTCCCAGCCGTCACTGGGCATGGTTTCCAGGCCTTTGCAAACTTTCCGAAACAAAGTGAGCACTGGCCCCTGGTGGCCAACTGGAGGATTGCAGTATCATATAGGGACCTGGTTCTCCCAGGCCACTTACAGAATACCCAGACTCTTCAGGAGATATGGGGCTGGGGTTTCGTGAGAGAGAGAGGTGTGTAGGTTTAGACAGTGGCTGTGTGGCCCACTGTGGCCTAGCCATGCTGGGATGCTTCTCCATTCTGACGTAGAAGGCCTGTTGAGTAAGAAAAAAGTTTTGTCGGGAGCTTGGATTTGGGGACTGCCAGCGCCCTCACCAGCGCGGTCTGCAGTCTGGGCCCAAATGTTATATTCTCAGTTTTGGTTTCCGCCTTTGACACCTGTGTGTGGTGCTTCTTATTCCTATGGCCTGGAGTTTCAGCTGCCCAGGCAGGATGGAGGAAAGGGTATGAAATGGCCAACTGGGCAGGGCGAGGGCTTGGAGTTCACTGACCCTGTCTTAATTTCCAGGACTTGGCCATGTACATCAACGAAGTGAAACGGGACAAAGAGACCTTGAAGAAGATCAGCGAGTTCCAGTGCTCCATAGAAAACCTGGTAAGCAGGTGGCCCCTGCACCTACGCTCACCATAGCGACCGCCTGTGAAGCCTGGCGTGGCTGCGGCTGCCTGAGACAGGAGGCTTTGCCCATGATCCGCCCTCCCCCCGTCAGTCTCTCTATCCTCAGGATGGGCCATAGACAGGGTTTGGTTTGGGGGTGGGACTCCTCTGGGAGCTCCAGGCAGGGCTGGCACTCTCTAGCCCACTCCTTCCAAGGTTGACTGGGGCTGGGTGGTGATGGCGCACACCTTTAATCCCAGCACTCGGGAGGCAGAGGCAGGCAGATCTCTGTGAGTTCAAGGCCTGCCTGGTCTACAGAGAGACTTCCAGGACAGTCAAGGCTAGACTGAGGAACCCTGTCTCAAAAAACAAAAACAAAAAACCAGAGGTTGCCTGAGTGATGAACTGCTTTGAGATGCAAGCATCCTTGGCCCGTATTGGGTCTAGCTCTCTGTGTTCTGCATTAGGAGAACCTAAGCCTGTCCTTGCCCCTTGCAATAGCACTCTTGACCCCAAGTGATGACTGCACCTCCAAATGCTGTTCAATGCCCAGAGTCATCTTGACACAGAACCATGGTTTTGTCATAAACATTTCCTCTTCCTGGTGACTTTTCACTTCATGAGCGTGGGGAACCATGGTCTCTTGATTGGCATGACTGTCTTCACCTACCAAGGAGCCCTCTGCGGGCCTGGCTCATCAGGAGACATCCAGGCCATGCCGCCAGCCGGAGAGTGGCAGAAATTGCCGAGCAGTGTTCTGATTCCCCCTGACGTCCCTGTGCGTCTCCCAGTGTGGGTGTGGCCTAAGGCATGAGCATTTGTGGGGCCCCTCACCACGACACATCCTTGCTTTCTAGCCCCCACACAGTGACAGCTGCTTTGTACACAGGGGAGCGTGATTTGGTGTTCGTTCTTTAAATGAGAAGGAGAGGATTGTGGGTATGGTTTGCCTCTCATGCACAGGGCTGTTAATATACTAGACTTGGGGACACTAACTGTAATCCAACACAGGGTGAGGGAATGGGGGAGGGGGAGGGGTGGAGAAGCAGAAGGACCAGAGTTGTCCCTGACTATATAGCAACTTCCAGGTCAGTCTGGGCTACAATAGGCTTCGTCTCAAAAGAAACAGTGGTCCATGAATGTTGGTGTTCCTGGGACCAGACTCTACTACCTGGCTTGCAGCCTTGGTGCTCTCTCCAGGCAAAGGAGTCTGGGGTTTTATGTCCTGATTGATGGGACAAAGACACATGGCAGAGTCCCCCAGCATATATGATCACCCCCACCCTGTGTCATGCCTAGACCAGCCTGTGTGTGTCACACTGAAACCAGCCCTTGGAGCTTTCAGGAAGTGCAGGAGACTGGGAAGTTGTGCTCATTTGGTCCCCCTCAGGCACAGCCACGCCCCCGGGAACTTGCCCTCTCTGTCACCCAGAGGATAGCGGAGAGGCAGATCTCCCTGGATTAAACAGTACAGAGAGGCACAATCCAAGCAGCCCTGGAAATGGAGTCTTCACAGCCAGGTGGTAGCAGGGCTGGGTACAGCGTTGCTTCCTGTAGAGGTTGAACCCATGGCCGGAACCCAACCTATGGCTGCCACTTGCTTTCTTTATTAGCTCTCTCAGGGCTGGACTTCTGACTTTTCCACACAGCAGCTGCTTGTGATCATGAACAGGCCATCAATTGCCCTTTGTTCCCGGAGCTCAAGGGAGTCCCCATTGTGGCCCCCTAGGAGGAGATAGGCTTGGCTGGGACCCATAATGGCCTCGGGCTACCTCACCCCGCCCAGTCACCATTGGCACATTTTCTTGGGTCTTGCCATCCTGCCCTGGGCATGCACACTTATCTCCCTGTCTAGTAAAGCAGAGGTCTCCTGCCCTCGGGCTAACGGTCATTGCCTTTCCCAGCAAGTGAAGCTGGAGGAATTTGGGAGGCCGAAGATTGATGGGGAGCTGAAAGTCCGGTCCATAGTCAACCACACTAAGCAAGACAGGTGAGCAGGGTGGTACCCCATCCCGGGCGGACCCTCCGGCTCAGGGACCCCACTCCCAGGCGGCCTGAAACAGACCTTCCTGAGGGAGGAATAATGGTGCAACAGGCTTTATGCAGTTCTGTTTAATGACGTAATCTTCTCTACACAAGCCTCTATGTGCCTGTCGTATCGGTCAGCAGAGACCACATGCAAAGAGACTGCCCTGCCTGTGATGTCCACTAAGCGGGACTGGGAGACAAAGGTGGGAGGTAGAGAGGTCTGGTCTTCAGCTCTCAATCTTCAGGGAGCTCTGACTGAGAGGCCGTGAGGCCATGCACGCTCCCTGCCTAGTGTCCTCTGGGATCAGATAGCAGGTGGGGGAGAAGTTGGCATAAGTCAGGCATCTGTGGGGACTGGGGGCACAGAAGAGAGAATGGGCTGTGGCATTTGAACAGTGCTCCAAGGGAGGCCAAGATAGAGGGTCGAGGACCTTCTGCATGGAGGTGGCACTGAGAGGCCTTCTGGGAACAGTCGAGTCCTGACCAAGAGTCACGGTGCCTGGCTGACCCGGCAGAAGGGAGGACTTCACCTTGGAGAGTGGACAGCACGTGCAGGCCTTGGTCTTGTTAGTCTGACACTGAGTGACCGCCGGGACAGCTGGCTGGCGTTGGGTGGGGATACCGGGCCACAGCATGGCTGTCCTGACGCTCGATGCGCTGTCTGGCCAGGTACCTGTTCCTGTTTGACAAGGTGGTCATTGTGTGTAAGAGGAAGGGCTACAGCTACGAGCTGAAGGAGGTCATCGAGCTACTCTTCCACAAGATGACTGATGACCCCATGCACAACAAGGACATCAAGAAGGTGGGTCCACATCTGGAGAGGGCAAGCGCGGCGTCCTGACTCCAGGGAGACCACATCCAGTGTCTGTGGAGGTAGCCTTGCAGGAAGACTGTCCTCCCTTTGTCTCTGTGACTGCGGCAGATGGTTCCCATGGTGGGTGGTAGACACCCTTAGGACTCCAGGTCCCCAGTAACAGAGGGAGGGAGGAGCCTTATTTAGGCACCAGTAAGAGCCTAGCTCTCAACCTTGACTTTTAGCCTTAGTGGACCTGACTCTAATTCCTCATGTCTTGTAACAAGCAGGCCTTCCCTCCTCCATTCCTACTCTGCCTTATTTGCTGGGGGCTGGTTTGTGGTTTGTCAGACTCTGCAATCCAGTGGACTAGGATTGCAGGAGGAGGGATTGTGTCCACAAGGGGGTGGAGCTATGGGCATTGTGGTTGTGGCTGTGGCCGGGAGGGGATGGCATGGATGGGAGGGGATGGCATGGACAGCAGACTGGCTTGCTTCAGTCTTGTTTCTTGGAGACTTCTGAACACAGCACCTTTTGTGCATAACCCCGGGCTGGATTAGGGATGGGAGCCCAGCTGCTAAAGGCTCTGACCTTCTGCAAGTCCCCACACAGGGTGCAGGCCCGCCAAGCACAGGCTTCTCTTAGCCGTGGTGTCTGACGCAAGAGGCAGTGACCAGGGCCACTTTCCAAGCTTGGGGCTTTGGGGAGCACAGCCTAGAGTGCTTGACAGAGCTGGGGCCTTACCATCCGGGGCTATCAGTCACCCCAGACTGCAGTACATCCAGGGCCGGGCCCCTTAATGACCTGTCTCCCCCTTTCCTTTCCTCTTCATGCTTCCTAGTCTCATGGGAAGATGGTAAGCCCCTGGTGCTCTCCTCCCTCTCCCTCCCCAGTGCTGTCTGATGCTGGCCCTTCCAAACTTGCGGGTTTGGGGCTTCCTGGGCCTCAGTAAGCCATGGCTCTCCCCTCCCCCTCCTTCCTTTGCATCTTAATCATGATAGTGACACATATTTGTGGCAAAAGATTTGCAGAAGGTGTGACCTGGAAACCCACCTGCTCTCCTTCCTGGGAGGTGAAGGTCAGGGGTCACTGAGCACTGGCAGGCCAGGCTTCCTGATCTCTGCCCTGCACTATCCTCCTCACTCCTCGCTTCCCCATGTTCCCCCTTCTCTGCTTCTCTCCATCCCTCCACTTCTAGACTAGACTACACTTTACCTGGGCCTTTTGGAAGCCCTTTTCTTAAGCCTGGAGTATTGGCCAGGCCAGTGGGTGGGGCCAGCTGCTGGGTTGCTGGGATTGGTCAGCCATTCAACCATCTGACCCCAGCCTTTGTTTTTCCTATTGTTTTTTATTTTTTTAACCCAGGAAGTGAAAGTGAGTAGGTGGGGCTGTGGAAGGGCAATAGGTTGGCTCCTGAGAACTCCTCCTGGGGAGTCCCTGGGACAGCAGGGATTTGGGTGGAAGTGCCCCATGAAGGGGTGGGAGAAGGGTGGGCTATCCTGCTAGAAGGTGGGACCTGAGCATGGGCTGCCACACCCATGCATATATACATACATACATAGCAGGCCCTTGCATACATACAAGTGCACACAACAGAGTTAGAGCATACATGCATGGGCACAGTAGTGCCATATGCATACATGTTTACACAGCAGGATACATTTATACACATGCACACAACAGTGCCCTCCACATACGAGCACATATGAGCACAACAGGACTCTTGTACATATATATATGTGCACACAGCACTACCTGTGCATGTGGGTCCATGTGCAGAACATGGTCTACAGGTCCAAACACATGCATACATGATGTAAACACATGTGAGAGGAGCTATAGACACCCATACACAGACTTGGGTATACATATACGGACACTTCTATATCCAGGAACAAGTACCCATGCACATGTATGCACACAAGCACAGTACACACACACATGTTTACACAGGAAGGCACATGTGTATGTGATCATAAGGCCAGTCACATGTACAAGCACAAGTTCCTATGTAACTTCACACATGAGAGCCCCCTGGTCTGCTTGGGAAAGAGCACAATGCACCGACATTCTCACATGTGGGAGGGTCTGCACATGCAGTCATGTAGCCAGGCAAGAGTGTATGTGTATATACACAAGATCATGTTATACACAAGCATAGGCACACACATACAGTACCAGTAAGAACTTGTGTATACCAGGCGGTAGTGTCCAAAACCATGCTGGCTGCCAGCATGCTTCCGCCCCCACAAAGCCATGCCAGCTGCCAGCATGCCTCTGTCCCTACAGTGGTCCTATGGCTTCTACCTGATTCACCTCCAAGGAAAGCAAGGCTTCCAGTTCTTCTGCAAGACGGAAGACATGAAGCGGAAGTGGATGGAGCAGTTCGAGATGGCCATGTGAGTTTACGGCAGGACCCTCTGGCCTATTGATTCTGCCTACTGACCCTCTCGGGCAAGCAGTAGTGAGAGGTGGTTCTGATGCTCAGCGTGAGACAAGCTCCTTCCCCGTGGGACACCAGCCGCCTCGGCAGGGCCTAGTTCTGTCTCCCAGATGTCTCAGGTGGCATCAGGTTCCTGCTACATGGCCTCACCACTGTCGAGGCTGAGCCTCACTCTTGACAGCTAGGTGGTAACTGGTGAAGGGTGACACCTGGAACTCTCCTCAGGACCCACTGGGGATTTATTTGTCTTTGTTTGAAAGTCTCAGGACAGTGTCCCATGAGGTTGAAGGGGCACCCAAACACACAAAGCAGAGAAAACAGGTGGCGGGCAGAAGAGGTGGGTGTAGTGTTTACACTTGACCCTACAGCAGCCAGACTTGGGGACTTCTGGGGAGTATACCACTCCCCCAGGCTTCCCACATGGTGAGATACAGATACCAGAGTGAGGTCAAGGCAGTTGGATCAGGCTATACCCTGGGCAGTGGCTGCCTGCTGGCTTACGTCCAGACTGTGAGAGCCCCGGGGCTCTCTGCCCTTTGGTTTCTGTGTGTTGGGCTTCTCTTCCCAGCATTGTGCGGGGAAGTATTGAAGCAGTTTCAGGTATTTACAGAAATTGAAGAATGCCTGTGAGCACCCTCCTCGTGCACGCCTCTCCCTCCTTGCCTGTCTGTCTGTCTGTCCTGCTTTCTCAAATCTGATGGTGGAGAAGATGCAGTGAATGTGGCCTCGAGGTGTGATCCTGAGCTAGTCATTAGTTCCACATTTATGAAAATAAGCACTTACACTGGGGAGTGTTAAGCTGAGTGTGATTGCCCTGCCATCCATGGCACTGTCCAGGACCACCACCAAGTGCCTGAAACCAAAGTAGCATCAAGCCATATGGGTACACAGTGTCGTAGGTGTGCAGAACTACGGTAGGATGCATTGCATACATCAGTACAACTAAGAACTGAGAACTAGCTATTAGACCCTTATACGATGGGTTGTGATGAAATCACTGTGCTTGCACAGGGACCAGTGGTGAGTAAAATACAGGACACTGGAATGCAGGTCCTGTGTGTTTGTGACAGGTGATTTGCTACCAGACAGTCACCAAGTGGCTGCTAATAGGTGGGTAGCTCCCACAGCACGAATACAAACCCATGAGCTGCTTGGCTCTGGAATTTTCCATGTAAGGTTTTCAGTCCACATTGGATTGTGGGTAAAACCTCAGAGAGGAAAACAGTGGACAAGGAGGGCAGCGATGCAAGCTAAGTTTGACATTCCGGGGCCATTTTCAGTAACCTGCCTTGCCTGGCAGGCTCTCTCCAGCCAGCATGGTGTAGTTAAGAGCCCCGCTCCCCACCCCCCATGCCCTCCTACCCTTTTCCCTGACGTGTGTGGGGAGATCCAGGCTGGAATACAAGCTCCTGGTGTGTGCAGCCTGGGTCCTTAAGTGGTTGTCCTCATATTCACGGGCGCAGGCAGCCTGGGCATGGAGTGCCTTCTCTCTCCTTCCACCAGGTCAAACATCAAGCCAGACAAAGCCAACGCCAATCACCATAGCTTCCAGATGTACACGTTTGACAAGACCACTAACTGCAAAGCCTGCAAGATGTTCCTCAGGTGGGTCTCTTCAGCCCTTCTCCCCGCAGCCTCCCTGGCCTCCAGGACACTCTGCTGAGCTGCCCTGTGACACCATGGCACCTGACCTCCCCCCTTAGCCCCATAGGATGCCTCCAAGAACCAGGGAGGTAATCAGTAGGGGTCAGCAGCCAGGGCCGTTGGAGTATTGGGTCCAGCAGAGGGTTTGCCCTTGCTGGGGACTGTGGAGTGAGGGGCCAGGCTGAGGTGATCGGGGACAGCAGGTGCTTTGCGGGCGTGGATGCTCTAGAGCAGATCTGACCAGGTCTTGACCAGGGTGATGACTGGTTGAGGGAGCAGGGAGCTGCACCCCATCTCACCTCCTCCTTTCCCCCCACACAGGGGTACCTTCTACCAGGGTTACCTGTGCACCAGATGTGGCGTTGGCGCACACAAAGAGTGCCTGGAGGTGATGCCACCCTGCAAGATCAGTGAGTACCCACCAGTGCATCGGCACGTGCCCCACTGACAGTGCCCCGGTCACGGGGACCCCTTGCCCACACTGCCTTTCACCCCGTGACAGTTCTGTGCCTTGGGAGGGAGTCAAATGAGGCCAAGATGTGAAGATACTTGGCTGGGGGGTGGTTATCAAAAGCCATAGCTGGGAGTGGTTCCTCTCTAAACCCCTGTGATATTCCCCTGCACCTACTGCACCTCTGCCCCATTCCGGAAGTAAGTTCATGGTCCCTTTGACCCACATCCGCAAAAGGCACAGGACGTTCTCAGCAGGAATGTGGGAATTCCCACCATAAATCCCCATCATAACTGGCTCTCACTCCTGGTTCTTCGTCCAGGAGTGTCCTGGCCATCACAGCTTGGTTAGTGAATGGTTGAATACACGCCTTACCAAGCAGTGAGTCCAGATGGGAGCAGCAAGTTTAGGCTTCTGTTGTATTATTCTCTGATGCTGGAGTGAAATCTGCCTTGGGGGTCTCAGTCATGCTAGAAGTGTTCTCTACCAACCCCAAAGCTTCCTCTGACAGGAAGGGTGTAGGGTGTTGGCAGCATGTCCGAGGGACAGCCCTGCACAGGTAGTGGCACCTGCTAAGTGCCAGGCTCCATTCTCTGAGCTTCAGATGGGAGCCCCATCCTCGCCATTCGCTGGGGAGGCACTGCTGTATCAGGCTGCGCCAACACAGGAACCATCTACAGGAGGCTAACTTGCTCTGAGTCCCCCAGGCTGAGCCATGCCTGGATTTTCTTCTAGTGGGACAACTCTGTATCTGCCCTCCTCGCGGTGGAAACCAGTCCTCTTATGTTTGACCAGGTCCTGGGGTCACTGTCTTGTTACTGAGCATGTCTCCTTGGTCTCTTCTGGTTTAGTAGGCACCACCTCTAGATCAGCCCTAGAAAGTCTTGACAATGGCATTGACTTTGTCAATGTCGCCCTCTTGTGACCATAAGCCCCTCATGCAAGGCAACTGCCCGAATTACCCACACACTGTGTATGTGTTGTGTGTGTGTGTTTGTAATTCTATTCTAAAAGTTAACAAACTTAATTGTAGAAAAAAATGGGGATAAGAATAAAACGTGAAGTAAAAAGACACTAGGGCGGGTGTGGAGGTGCACACCTTTAATCCCAGCACTCAGGAGGCAGAGACAGACGCATCTCTACGAGGCCAGCCAAAACTACATCGTGAGATTCTGTCTCAACTAAAGAGAAGAGAAGAAACATGGCTAATGAACTTACCCAGATAAAGACGTGGCTGGGTGTGTGTAGCTCAAGTGGCAAAGTACCCTCAGGAGGTACAGGCAGGAGAATCAGGACAAGAACATCCTTGGTTCTAGAGAGAATCAAACGAAAGCCCTAGAAAGAGCTGAAGGCAATGTTTTCTCACATTTTAAGTTTTCCTTTTTTAGAAAACACATTTTTAGAGTTATTCTCCCCCGTCTCTTTATTATTAGATACTTGTTGTCTAGAAAAGTTTAACATGTAGAAAAGTGTGAAGAAAAGGAAAGGAAAGCCCCAGTCCTAGTTCCTTCGGGCACCCACAGTCCTGTGGGTGTTTCCTTCCTTTTGCATCCCCGGGTGCCAGGTCCTAGTCTCCTGGGGCTTTTGTTCCCTCTGACATCAGTGGGGTCCTTCCAGAGACCGTATCCTGTCGTCACAACCCCTGGCTGGCATCAGACACTATTCCAGGCCTTGTGACTCCCCTGAGGGCGGAACCCATGGTCCCCTTGCTCCTCTGCTAGGGGACGCTGTTGCCCTTCAGGCTGCTTTCCCTCTGATTGGCTCTGATGCTTTGGTCAGTGCTCCTCTGGCATTGGTCAGTTTAACAAGCCCTTTATTGTCCCACCAGCCAGCTCCCAAATAGCAACACAGAAACTGTTTATTAATTATGAGGGCCTGGCCGTTAGCTTAGACTTGTCCCACTAGCTCTTTTTTTAAATATCTATTTATTATGTATACAATATTCTTTCTGTGTGTATGCCTGAAGGCCAGAAGAGGGCACCAGACTTCATTACAGATGGTTGTGAGCCACCATGTGGTTGCTGAGAATTGAACCCAGGACCTTTGGAAGAGCAGGCAGTGCTCTTAACCACTGAGCCATCTCTCCAGCTCCCCCCACTAGCTCTTATAACTTAAATTAACCTATAATTTTATTAATCTACATTCTACCATGTGGCTTTTACCTCTCTCCCATTCTGTATGTTCTGATTGTTCTACGTCTCTATGGCATCCCCTCTGCTCCTGTATTCTTCTTCCCCATTTCTCTCCCTCTGCCCAGAAGTTTCACCCGTACCTCTGGTGTGGGAGAATTGTCTGTATTCTGTCAATCATGTTTTAAATAAAACGCTGATTGGCCAGGCAGTAGGTGTAGGCAGAAAACCAGACAGGAAGTGGAAATGATGCAAGAAGAGCAGGAGAATTCTGGGGAGGAGGAAGTTGATTCCTCCCACTCCTGCCCAGATCACCGAAGCAGCAGGATGTGAGCTACCCCACTGAAAAAGGTACTGAGCCACATGGCTAAAATAGATCAGAAAAATGGGTTAATCAAGATATGAGAGTTAGCCAGTGGGAAGCCTGACCTAATGAGCCAATCAGCATTATAACTTATAGAGATCTCAGTGTGATTGATTTTCTCTGGGGCCTGCCGGCTGTGGGGTACCAGACGGGGACAGAAAACACAAACAAGCAGGCCCCACTCATGTTACAGAATGGCGCCCGGGAAGATACTCCCGCAGCATACCTCCTGCCTAGCTATTGACTGTTCAGCTTTTTATTACACCAATCACAATAATACACCTTCACACCATGTACAGTATCCCACAACAGGTCAACTTTCCCCTGTGAGCAATGATAGTACCACCACCAAAGGAGATGGACTTTGTAACACGCATGGGAGCCTTGCTACTCCTAGGGAGATGCCAGCTCCTCCTGAGAGCCATGGGAATCCTGCCATCCCGTGGGACATTGCTACCCACTGTCGTGTTCCAAGGGTCTGTAAAAGAGTCAAATGTTCCCAGAGAAGTCTGAAGCCACAATAGTTAGGGGTATTGAGGTCCCACCAGCCACACACCCTTGCTGACCCTCGTTTTGACTCCTGCTGAGGTAGAAACCCAGCCTAGCCATGGCCGGGTGATGTCCTCCCTCCCACGTGACAACTGAATGACCAGTGTCCGACTTGAGGGTCTTATAGGAGGATGGCAATAGGAACCTTTTCACACCCACCTTTGTATCACCAGCCAGGTGTAGAAATTGCCCCCTGAGGGCTGCAGAGATGGCTCAGTGGTTAAGGACACTGACTGCTCTTCCAGAGGTCCTGAGTACAATTCCAAGTAACCACATGGTGACTCACAACCATCTGTAATGAGATCTGATGCCCTCTTCTGGCCTGCAGGCATACATGCAGACAGAACACTACACAATAAACAAACAAACAAACAAACAAACAAATAAATAAATGATAAAGAAAGAAAGAAAGTGCCCCCTGAACCCTCCAAGCCACCAGGCAGTTACTACCATTCAGAGCTGGCCCAGGCAGATATGACTTCCAGTCTGAGTTCCCCACAGCTCCCTAGAGCTAGAACTCAGAGCTTGTTGTCAAGGTGACCTTCATGGGTGTGAGTCTGAGTCTCTGTGTGCAGCTGTGATTGGGCTCTGAAGGGAGCCCCCTGCAGCTCAGCCAGCCGCTCCTGCTCCTGCTCTGTGAGTGTGCACTGCGGAGGTCACCTCTCTGTCTAGACTTCCACTTTGACCCCCTGCTCTGCTTCCTTTGCAGGTTCTCCCGCAGACTCGGTGAGTGCTCCCAACTCTTCCCACTCTTTGGGGCTGTGCCAGCAGAGAAGTGTGTCTGTCCGCTCCCTCCTGGTGGCCCGATAGCTGGGGTGTCTCCTGGCAGCTCACCCACTCTAACTCCCTAGGGATCTCCAGCTGTAGCTGCACCTCTGCGACACAGCATGCTTACCCAAAGGGAGAGGTCACTAAAGTCATTATAGGGCATGAGTGAGGGCCTCAGCAAGCTGTGAGTCCAGCTCTGTTATCCAGCTTTGAATGGATGCTCACCGGGCTCTGCCAGGGGATGGAGCTGGCTCCATCACATAGCACTTGGTTGTTTTTTCCAAAGACGTGTCCAGAACAGACGTTGGAGGATAGTCAGGGAGGCTTGCGGGGGAGGTGGGAGTTGGGGGTATGTAACCATGTTGGGGTGCACAGGATGGGGTGTGACTAATGTTGGGAGAGGAGATAGTGTTGGCAGACCTCCACTGGAGGTTAGGACAGGACCCTGCTCTCCTGCTTCCTGCCTTGACCCTCCTGTGGGTAGTGCTGATGTGGGGACTAAGGGTGGAGTGCCTTGCCTAACCCTCTGTCGTTGTCCTCACAGGATGCACCTGGAGCCGCCCCAGGTGAGTGCGCTGGGCTCGGGTCTGCCTTTGCAGTCTCTATGGGTGGGTGGTGGCTGCTTATCACAGTCATTCTTTTTTTCTTTTTTCTTTATTTCTTTTCTTTTCATTTTAATTTCAAGACAGGGTTTCTCTGTGTAACAGTCTTGGCTGTCCTGGAACTAGCTCTTGTAGACCAGGCTGGCCTCGAACTCACAGAGATCCGCCTGCCTCTGCCTCCCGAGTGCTGGGATTAAAGGCATGCGCCACCACCCAGCTAGCACAGTCATTCTTTGCCCTGAACTCTCTGGCTGCCTCCCCAGGTTGACTTAGGTTCTGATGGGGTGGGAAAGGGCCAGGCTGCAGAGAGGCGAGGACCTTCCACCCCAGCTCAGAGAGCTGCCATGCTGCTGGCCCAGAACCTGAGTGGGCAGGAAGTCCAGGGGCCACTGCCATTTTTCTCGCGCTCTGGTGTGGGCTGCCCAGGCTGTTAAAACAGGTGGGCCTGACGGCCTCGCATCCTGGACGAAGTCTGAGCTTCCTTAGAGGAAACTTAATCCCTACCCAGATGTTGCCAGTGCTGGGCCACGGTGACCTGGACCAGGCCCAGCAGGACAGTTCTGTGGCATCTTTGAACATCTGGGGTGAGACTGGGGCACAACGGGACTCCATCAACCTCAGGCTCTTGGAGGCTGAGCCTCCATCTCCGTTGTGCCTCTCAGGCCTGCCTCTGACCAGTTCTGGGGCCCCCTCATCTCTAACGTGGGACCCCACCCCAACTTTACACTGCAGATCCCAGTTCAGTGGTGTCTGGAGGAGACATCAAGCGCCATCTAAAAATACGTGTCGGTTATTGAACTCTTCTGGCATCTGTTTCATTGAGTAGATTATCTACTTAGGATCTTTATCCAAACGATGCAGGAGTAGAGGGATAGGGAGGCGCCTCTGTGTTGGGGAGCAGTCTCACCATAGGGTTCCCCAGATCAGGAAGGGTCTGTGATGGGGTGAGCTTCCAGCAGGCACAAGGTCACCAGTGAGTCATTCTCTTCATTCTCTTCTACCTTGTCATCCATAGGTCCCAAGATGGTTGCTGTGCAGAATTACCATGGTAACCCAGCCCCTCCGGGGAAGCCAGTGTTGACCTTCCAGACGGGGGACGTGATAGAGCTGCTCCGGGGTGACCCCGATTCTCCTTGGTGGGAGGTAAGTTCTGGGCCCTGGAGGGGAGGCGTGCAGCATTGCTTCTCCCTGCCCATCCCCCAAGGCCAAAGCGGGGAGGTTTGGGGGTGACACCACGCTACACAGGTAGGGGTGCGGCATGCTTCCACAGAGACTCTTGTTTGCTCTGTCCTTTCCGCCTCAGTGGACCCCACAGGCCCCCACTGGGTTCTGTCCAAACCATGTTGTGCCTCATCTCCCATGTCCCCATTCCAGTTGACAGCCCCTCAGAGTGTTGGAGATTGGTCCCAGGGCCCTGTATGCTAGGAGCAAGACAAACATGGTACCCCCTTGATATTCTTGTGGGCTAGTTTACAGTTCTGAGCTGGCTTGTATTACATCTTTAGCACCCTTTCTTTTGAGCCCCAACACCTAAGGAACCCTGAGACTCCATGGCCATCTTGGAGTACAGAGTTTGAAGGTTGGTGATATCTGTACTGTCTTGCTTCCCCAAGGACACCATCGGTAGCTGAGTCTAGACCGTTGAGCCAGACTAGACAGTCACATGACATGAGACCGAAGGATGCTCTGCATCCCAGGTGTTACGGTTTCCTTCTGTAACTGCGATGTTGGCCGACAGAAAGCAATCCGGGAGAAAGGGTTTATTTGGTTCGTGGCTTCAGGTTCCAGTCTATCATTGCAGGGGAGTCAGGCGGAAGCTTGAAACTGTCACATCACATCCACAGTCAAAAGCGGGGAGAAGGAAGGCACACTTAGTGTTTAGCTCAGCTACTCCCCCAAGACCCAGCCCAGAAAGTGGTACTGCCCCTTAAAGGCTGCCTCTTCTCACCTCACTTGACTCCCCACAAAGGCAGACCAGCCTGATATAGTCAGTTTCTTACTGAAACTCTTCTTAGATGATTCTAGGCTGTGTCAAATTGACAGTTAACCGGCAAGCAAGGTCTGCATCCTCCTCCCTACCCGCTCCCTGGGTGTCTCTTAGGTGGACTTGCAGAAACACTTGGCTATTGTGTTGAGCCTCGGTGTTGTTTATCTGTAAAGTGGGACCGTCCTCACCGCTCTGCTCCAAGTGGTGGTGAGGTGGACTAAGTCACAGCAGGGAGGTGACACTCATGTCGAGCCTGGGGTTTGTGTCTGTTTAGAAACAGGCACCCAAGGGTCCTTCATACCTCCTGGTTGCTTCTTTCTCCAGGGTCGACTGGTTCAAACCCGGAAGTCAGGGTATTTTCCCAGCTCATCCGTGAAGCCCTGTCCAGTGGATGGAAGGGTGAGTCTTTTTTTCCTGAGGCTTCTCCCACAGGGTCCAAAATACAGAGATCTGGGGCCAAGGAGTCAGGTTGTCCCTGCTGGACGGCCGCAGCATATCACATCTGGGGCGGAGCAGTTCACCCCAGGGTGGGCAGGGGTGCTATTGCCTATTGAAGTTTTGGGGGCTGAGCATGAACGACCTGTGAATGTTTTAATCTATTGCTTTGAAGGGACCCCTGACCAGGGAAACTCTTAGGAAAGAAAACATTTCATTGGGGGCTTGCTTACAGATTCAGAAACTTAGTCCGTTATCATCATGGTGGGGAGCATGGCAGGTGCACAGTGGCGTGCATGGCTCTAGAGCCGTCGCTGAGAGCTGCATCCTGCAGCAGACAGCCTGGCGTGGGCTTCTTGAAACCTGTCGTCTCACCCCTAATGACACACGTAACTCCACAGGGGCCACATCTTCTATCCCTTCTCAAATAGTTCCACTCCCTTGTGACTAAGCATTCAAATCTTTGAGCCTTGGGGTCCATTCTTATTAAACGCCACAGTGGGCACCCACCCAGTCGAAACTGCCCTCCCCTGCGGAGAAGGCTTTTTATGCATCCTCATAGCTGGGAGAAGAGGAAGCTTCCCAGACACAAGGCCTGAGAGCTGGATCTTGTTAGGGACAACAAACAAGGCTGTGCTTGGCTCTGATGTCCAAAGCAGCAAGGAGCTGGCCTGGAATAACCTGACCCCTCTCCCCGCAAGGACGGCTGAAAGTGGAAGAGACACTTCCTTCTCCCTGAAAGTACTGGGACAGGAAGCATCTCTGCTCACCCCAGACCTACGGTTCCTCTGCTGCTTGAAGGAAATATTAAACACTAAGAGCTCTTTGGATAGACCTGGGGAACCCATAGTAGAGGAGGACGGAGTCAGGGACGGGGGACACAGTACCTCCTGAGTGTGGCCACCTCTTGCCCACTGTTGGGGATTTCTTGTGGCCTCCAGCCTTTCCCTCCCAGGAATGGAGTTTGCTGCTGGTTTCTTATTCATTCATGCCTTGTGAAAGTCAATCATTTCATTCATTCACACCTTCCGGGAAAGTCAGTCATGCCTTGGGGGTTGGGGGAAAATCAGTCATTTCATTCATTCAGGCCTTCCAGGAGAGTCGGGGAGAGTCAGTCATTCTCTCTGTCAACATCCTGAACGTCTGCTCTGAGGAAACTGGCTGGGGTGTCACAGTTTAGGAGTTCTGGGCTAAGTTCACCTGAAATTCTCGCCCAGTATAGACTGCTGGTCCCAGGGTTGAATTTATCATAAACTTCCCCTCTACTTCATGCCCCAGGGGACATTAATACACCTGTGTTCTGTCCCTAGCCACCTATTGGCCGCCCGCCATCCCGGGAGATTGATTACACTGCATACCCCTGGTAAGTGGCTTGTGGGCTGCAGACTCGGGCATTTGGAGGCCCCTGTGCCATAGGGTGTGGCCCTGTAAGCCTGTGAGCAGGGGGAAACCGAGCCCTACTTTGGCTATCTCCCTATCTCTGAAACGGATCTGTAGGCTCCAGTACTTGTGGTAATGAACCTTTCCCTATGCGGGCTTAACTGAGCTTCTTTCTGTAAGCTGTAGAGGTGATGCATTTGTGGTCTAGTTTGTAATCATTGCCTTTGGTGGGAAGAGAAGCTGGGTTTCGTGGAAGGGTAAAGGTGGATGTTTGGGTACGGTCACGGGTCACGTGAGTCTTGACTATTGATTCTGTCTCTGCTGTGTCCAGTGCCTAGAACTACCTACCCCTCAAAGCCGCATAACCCCGCATGCAGCACACACACCTCGAACCCCATCCAGTCCTTTGTCCCCAGGCCTCGCATGTCTGCACAGCTTCCTGTGTCTTTGTTCCCCTCCTAGCCCCTCACTGTTGTCTGTCCTATTGCATCTCTAGGAAGCCCACTGGGCCTGTGGGTGCATGCCCACCCTGCCTGGACCTGCAGGTAGCAAATGATTGCTGTCATAGAGATCATGGGGCTTTCCCTCAATGGAGTTGTTATTTATTTCTTGTCATTTTACTGTGCAAACTACCCGACACGGCCACTTAAGGAAGGAAAGGGTTATTTAGTTCCCAGTTCTGGGGTACAGTACGCCATGGGGAGGCATCCATGATCAGGAAGCAGAGCCATGAGCAAATGCTGGCTCAGCTTGCTTTTCTTTTTATTCAGTCTGAGAACCCATCCCCTGGGACTGTGCCCCACCCGCACGGAGCCTGGGGCTTCCCACCTCAATTAGCTTAATGGAGATCACCCCTGAGACATCAGAGACTTGTTCCCACGGTGACTCAGACTGACACTCAAGAATATCCACCACAGTTGCTTTAGTGTCTAAGTTATGTTTTCATTCTTCGACAATCTCAGACGTGTGTGGTGAATTCTAGTCATGTTGCCTCCACCACTCTTGGGCTCTGCAGCTTCTCCCCAGCGGGCACCTCCGACTTTCATAGTGTGTGTGACCCTCTGAGTTTATAACCAGAGTGTGGGCAACCTTCCAGTGGCTACTACTGAAGAAAGTGATCCCTCTCTCCCACCCACCAAGAGATTTGATTTATTAGCCGCAGATCTACCTTGGTTGTGCAGCATTGCTGAAGACTAGGCGCATTGTGTCACATCGTGGGAACATGGGATTGCTTTGCTGAGGTGACCGACCTGACCACCTTTTTTTTTGATGGTGGGAAAGGCCTGATTTTGCTCAGATCTCATTCTGCATGGATGCTGGCCACCTCCAGAGTATCTCCCCAAGATGCCACATCATTACTTCAAGTAGTGAAAGCAATTTAGAGAAATGGGGTCTGGTAGAAGTTCCTGCTTCGAACAGGCCCCCTGCCTGGCTGTGGCGCTTTTGTCTCTCTCCCCAGCGACATCTTTCTCAGATATCCTTGTATTCTTGACTCAAGGTGCCGTTCCCCATATTATGCTCTGGCCAGGACATGGCCGCAAACCCCTCATCAGTCACGTATCTCTTCACCTCAAAGGTTAAAGTTCAGACAAGGAGCAAAGTCCGAGACAGGTGACATGTACACACCAAGGCCACCACCTCTTCAGCAATGTGTCATAGTTCTGATTTCCCGATCCCAGGTTTGCTGGCAACATGGAACGGCAGCAGACGGACAACCTGCTCAAGTCTCATCCCAGTGGGACCTACCTCATCAGAGAGCGCCCAGCCGAGGCTGAGCGCTTCGCCATCAGCATCAAGTAAGCCTAGGAGTGCCCCCCCCCCGCCTCGACCCGTTATTGAGGGGATGGAGTGGGTCTTCTCTGATGTTTGGGCTAGAAAATCTTGAGCGAGGGAGCGGCAGAGAACACATGCTAGCCTACACTAGACACAGCTCCATGGCCACGTGGGTCGGGGATGGAGCGTTTTCAGAGACAGGTGGACTGGTAGGGCATTAGGAGGTGTTGTCAGGGATGTACTGGCTGCCTGTTCAGGGAGTCTTAGGTAGGATGTATGTACCCACCATGTTCCTTTGTGGCATCTGGGGACGCTTGCAGAACTCCAGCAGTGACCATGACAGCCTTGTAGCTTAGACCACAGGCCCTTGTTCTGGGCATCTTTTCTCAGATAAGCAAAACAAAACAAAAAAACTGGCAGTTCGTTTTCCTCAGCACAGGGCGCTCATGGGCACAAGTTGCTAGGTGTTACAGGGTTAAGAAATGCATAGCCTCTAGCCAACCCCATGTAATGACCTGGTAGATGTCACACTCACCTCATAGGAGTGTCCACAGTGTCTTGTGTATGCCCAGCCTTCAGGACAGCACCGTGGGGGTCCTATGATGTGGCTCACAGCACACGTTAAGTCCAGGGTGACACAACTAGGTGCCTGCGAAGGCCCGGTGGAGTGGGAACCTGGCCGCCTGGCAGCTTGATTATTCATTAGTCACTTTTTGCTCTAGCTGATTTCAGGGTATTGAACCAACCTTGTATTCCTAGACTTTCCTGGAGTGTCTCTCCAGCCCTCAGCCCTGGCCAAGGTGCCCACTCCATGTTCCATTCCTGAACTGATGTACGTGGGATGGGGCCACGATAGGTCCTCTTGCTATCACTGAGCAATATCACTGACTGGCTTCCTACACCCACAGTCATCAGGATACTGGCTCTAGTTTTCTGTCCGTGTGATGTCTTTGGCCGTGGTGCCTGACATGGCTTGGGGTGACTTTCAGAAAAGCCCCCCCCCAAGGCTCTCTAGGTTGGGTACACTTGAACTAAAGATGGTGATGGGTGAGGGCGGGGTGCGCTGTCCTTGAGCCATCGTGGACTTGTGCTCTGTGCTTCTGGAGCAGCCTGGAACATGCTAGAGACGGAGATCAGGGCAGTGTTCGCTGCTTACAGGGAGAAGGGGGATCTCCCGGTATCCAAAGCCAGTGAGCCAAAGCCCTAGACTGGAGGCAGCAGAAACCTGCAGAGGGTGGTGGGAGGGGAGGAGAGGAGTGAGTTGGTAGTGGGGCCTCTGGAGTATGGACTTCAAGCAGTCAGGGAGAGCGCTGGGCTAGGTCCCAGATCTGCCCCCAATGGAGCGCTGGAGAAATGGCTGGCTTGGAGTGACCGCAGAGGTGGCACAGAGGTTTGGGTCAGGATCCCCACTGGAACAGATCTGGAGTAAACCTTGGACTGTGTGCGTGCGCAGTAATAACTGGGCTGTGTCCCTCCAGGTTCAATGATGAGGTGAAGCATATCAAGGTAGTGGAGAAGGACAACTGGATCCACATCACCGAAGCCAAGAAGTTTGAGAGCCTCCTGGTACGTGGGCCCGTCACTCCTGCTGCCCCGGCCCCTGGCCATGGAGGCCGCAATGCCTCTCCACTCCACAGCCGTTCTGATCCCTGGTGGCCCGTTCTCTTCGCCTAGGGAGGGGCGATTCTTACCAGCGTGGGGCAGAATTTAGGGGAACTTGATCAGGTACCTTGGGGCAGTTGGAAGAATGTTGTACCTGAGTTGGGACACTCCAGAGCCTTCCCTCGGTCACGTGACAGAGCAGAAAGCAAGGCCCAGGGAGGCTTCTCACCCAACAGCAGACTATAAACAACCTCAACCCTAGTCTCTCCATCTGTGAGCCTCACCATAATGAAGTGGAAGGCATAGTGTTCCTTAAAGCGACTTGATAATGTTTCTGGTAGTCCTTGCCTCCACTCCGCCCCCTTTTCGGTTCCAATGTGGAGCCCAGGGCCTCACACACTGTAGGCCATTGTCCTACCATTGGGCCCAACCTCAACCTCAGCTCTTTTTCTTTGTATTTGGAGGTAGGGTCTCACGATGTAGCCCTGACTGGTCTAGAACTCATTATACCGGCCAGGCTGCCCTTCAACTCTCAAAGAGCCGCCTGTCTCTGCCTTCCTAATGCTGGGATTAAAGGCCTGCGCCACCACACCTGGCCCCATATTTCTTTTAATCAAAAACACTGCCCTCTAGTAGGACGCTGGAGCTTTCCTTTCCCCTCTGTGGCCCATGGGAAAATACAAAGGCAAGCAGAAGGTGCCTGAAATTTATTCTCAATCCAAAGCCAGCATCAGGTGAGGCTCCAGGTGCCTCTTGGGGCAACCAGGTCACCATTCATGGGGCTCTTACAAAGGCACGATGCCACTCCTCATGTGTCCATCATTCATGGTTGCCCAGTCCTCTCCCTGGTGCTATCGTCATGGCATTGACCCTGCAGGTGTGCCCTCACTCAGCAGCTTGTCCTCCAACCTTGGCATTCCTTCCAGAGCATTCTTTCAGCAATATTTGGGATCCCTAAAGCTGAGGGAGAAGTCTTTGAGGCACTGACCATCCTAGCTGGACTGGGCTGGAGTGAGGGGTTCTTTGAGGAGTCCAGGAGGTGGGAGGGTTGCCGATTCACCAGCAGTTGGTGAGTGTGCGCCCCCTGCAGGAGCTGGTGGAATATTACCAGTGCCACTCACTCAAGGAAAGCTTCAAGCAGTTAGACACTACGCTCAAGTTCCCCTACAAGTCTCGCGAGCGCGCCACCACCAGGTCCTCAAGCCGGTCCTCAGGTAATGTCTGGGCCCAGGGGTGTTCACCCAGGCCGCTTCCAGGGCCAAGATGCTCCCTGTCCATCTGGGTCGAGAGTTGCTACCCCTATCCCCCAGCGTGGACCCGTTCCACCCCATCTGTCACTGCTGCTGGCCCATGCTCCGTCCCATTTCGTGTAGCAGATGGGGCCTGCACTGCCCCTCTGGCTCCTGATGCCTGTGCTTGGAGCTGACAGTAGTGAGAAGCAGTAGGGTGGGATCTGAGAACAGATCCCTCCCAGGGTGCCCTGGGGCCTGGGCTGTGTGAGCCAGCTATCTGCCTGAAGTGGGGACTCCAAAGCAGAGGACAGGGGTGCAACCTGGACCTTGGGACGGACAGAGGGCCAGAGCATTTGGCTTCCAGCTCAGAGTTCTTTGCCCTGAGTAAGCCATGTCTCCGGTCTACAGGGACTGCAGAGCCCTGAGACCTCCCCTCCCCCACCCACCCCAGACAGAGCAGACCATCAGAGGGTTGCCAGCCTCGATGGCTGTGGGCCCCGTTGTCTTTTCAAAGCATAGGTGGAGAGCAAGCAGTGGTCTAGCTGTGCCTGTGCTAGGCCCCTGCCCTTCCTGGTGCCCCCCTGAGGTGTAGAGCCTGGCACCCCCTGTGCTCCGCGGCCGTCAGCATCCTGCCCTCTGTCTTACGCTTTCTCTTGCCTCTTTGCAGCTTCCTGCGCCTCCTACAACTTTTCTTTTCTCAGTCCTCAGGGCCTCAGCTTTGCCCCTCAGGGCCCCTCCGCTCCCTTCTGGTCAGGTACCTCTACTGCTCAGGGCCCAGCCCGATGGGTCCCCCTGGCTGTGCAGCCTGGTGCCGGGTGGGGAGGGGGGCTGGGAATCAGGGCCACCGAGGCTGCTGCACAGGAGGACACATGAGGCAGGGCTCTTTCCTGGTCACGCTGACTGCTACTTTCCTGCCCCCTCAGCTGTCACCCTTCACAGCCATTGGGAGCTTTGTCTCTGGCTGTGGGAAATGTGGGCAGGATGGGCGGAGCTGGCGACCGCTCTGTGTCCCCGTGACAGCTGCCATGGGAATGGAATGGGTGCAAAAGAAGGGGCTGCGGTCAACCTTGGTACAACGTGCATTCTGCTGCCAGAGCCAAAGCCCTGCTGTGTGTGGCTGTGTGTCCCCTCACTCACTGCCATTGTCAGCCTGTTCCGCGGGACTTTCTGGGTTCTGGGCTGAACCAGTTCAGGGGGTTTCCAGTCTAGTTTGGAGATCTGGGATGGGGGAACCACAGGCTGTAGTGGTCAAGTCGTGGATGCCTGCTCTGTTCACCAGTGACATGCTTGCTGCCTGTGATAGCTGCCCAGCATGGGTGGCAATAGCTCCAACCCTCTGCTAGTGCATGCACGGGTGTTCATATACCCAAAGCCACCAAGGTTTGAAGGGCTCTGAGCTGGAGGCTAGTATGTCCCTCCAGAGGCCTTCTCTGGCTGTGGGCACAAAGCCAGACTCTATGTATTGGGGACGAGACCTAGCTCTGTCCGAGGGCCTGACTAAGCAGCTCCTGCGGTTGTGTGATGCCCCACCCTGTCTGCCCCAATAGTGTTCACGCCGCGGGTCATTGGCACAGCTGTGGCCAGGTACAACTTTGCTGCACGGGACATGCGGGAGCTGTCGCTGAGGGAAGGCGATGTGGTAAAGATCTACAGCCGAATCGGCGGGGACCAGGGCTGGTGGAAAGGCGAGACAAATGGACGGGTGAGTAACTTGCCTGGCCTGAGGGCTTCGTGAAGAGGCCCAGGGCCGACTCTGACCCAGTTGGACTCAGACAAGCTATTCTAGAACCTCGACTATGCTCAGCCTTGTTCTAGGCACACCGTGTCTGAGCTCTCCCTGATGTCACAGGGGTGGGGGTGGGGGAGACTGCAAATCCAGATGTTCACTGCGATCCAGGCCCCACAGACCCTGTACTGTGTCAGACCCTGTTTCTCTGCCTTTATGGTCACTCAGGAACAGGTTTTATATACAGTCTTCTGGTCACTGCAGGTAGAGAAGCCACAGAGACCCATCACGTCCTACCACCCTATCTCTTCCACCTGTTGCCAATGACTGCCAGGTGGTTCCCTCAGACTCTTTTCCCTAGAGATCCTGCAGAAAGCCCTCTCTATCCCAAGACCCATCTAGAGCCACTGGCTTTGACCCAGGTCTCTGAGCAACCTTTTGGAAAGGTAGAGAGCTCCATGTGCCACCAGCAGGAAAACTGAGTGTTTCTGGGACTACAGGTGCCCAAAGACAAGTGTCCTTGTCTGCAGAGAGCCGGGCAGCCTTGGCTCCCCTGCTGAACATTCTACAGCTGGTAGCAGGAGTCATTCTGTTACCTCTGAGCTTGGCATCTGTGTTGCAAGTCCCAGATGTGTTCACGTATATATACCCAGCTGCCCTTCAAAGAGTGAAGGCAATTAAGTCATAGCAGCGACTCTGAGGGCTGGCCCTGAAAACGGGCCCATGCCGGTTGTCTTGGAAGCAGCTGGGGCCCTCACCAGGTCCAGGCAATTTCGTAGCACAATTTGAAAATAATTGGTTTGAGCTTTTGTGAGTAGCTCTTGTTGAGTTAACCTGCCTCTTTATTTGCGGCAGTTTTTCTTGAGTGAGTGCTTTTCTAACCACCTCCCCACACTCTTTCCTATTATGGTTGGTTTTTCTCTTTCCTTGTACTTGAGATAAGTTTCTTTCTTTCCTTCTTTCTCTCTCTCTCTCCTTCTTTCTTTCTTTTTTTTGTTTTTTTTTTTTTAGATAAGTTTCTTATAACCAGTTGGAATTTTTAAAGTGAATCTAGTGTGGCAGTCTTTGCCCTTTAGTAGGCCTATGTAGTCCATTTACATTTAGTATAAATATTGGGCTATTCATTTGTAAGACTAACATCTTGTTGCTTATTGTCAGTCAATTGCTCCCCTCTCCTTTCTGAGCAACTTTTGGGTTAGCCCATATTTTTTTTCTCTCTGCTTCATTTCTCCTCCTCATGATGGGTATTTTAGTTATATACGCTTTTACCACATGCGCTAATATTCTGGTGGTTGCAGGTGCACTTGGACTATACAGAGTCCCTGCAGTGATGACTTTTCCCACTGGAAAAGTGTGAATTTATAATTCACAGCCTTGAATTATAAATTATTTTCCTCCCAGTTTTTGTGTGGTGTTGTCATGTATCTTACACTTTTTAGTATTTGAAATTAATTGCCCAAATGACATTTCTTTACTCATTACTATTTCCTGAAGTCAAGGCTTTGTCAACACTTCTCTGATCTGTAGTCAAATTTTCTAATTTCACCAAATTTCTCAATTACCTTTCTTCTTGCTGTTGTTTCCTGGATCCATGGACTACTTGCCATGGCCATCATCTTAACTGGACCGTTCCTCAGTTTCTCTCGGTCATATATGACTTGTAACAGTTCTTGAAGAGAGGGCAGTTATTTTACCCCATTGTTAGGTTTTCTGTTTCTTCATATGTAGACAGAGGCCACGCCTTCATGGTGGTATATACAGGACTGTCATTCACCAGCGTCACAGCATCTGTCCTATGCCATTCTGCAGCTGTGATAAAACTCTCTGACCAAAACCAGCTTAGGGGAGGAAAGGGCTTGTTTGATCTTACCCGTCTCAGGATAGCCTGCCTCAGGGATGGTATTGCCCACAGTGGGCGGAACTCTCCTACATCAATTAGCAATCGAGACAGTCCCGCGGACACGTCTGTCTGGTCTGGGGAATCCCTTAATCAAGGCTTGTCCTCTGAGATCTAGCTAGGATGGGTTCTGATTGGAGTGTCCGGTTCCAGCTTCTCATTATTTGTGAAATTAACTTTGAACTTGATTGAGAGACCTTCTGCCAGGCTCCTCTCTTTCCTTTTGGATCTGCAGTCTATCCTGGATTGACCTACTGTTAGTCCTGCCCCCTGTCTTACCTGTTGCTTAATCCTTTTAGAGTCTTTTAAGTCATTGTATCTTTTGATTCTAGGGTTTTCTTCTCTTCTTCCCTTCTTCCTTTTTTGTTTATTGGTTAGTTTTGTTTTATTTTTGAAGCCAGGGTCTCACTGAAAAGGCGTGGCTGACCTTGAACTCAGGGCAATCCTTAGTCTCCTGAATGCTGGGGTTGTGGAGGAATGTCACCATATCCAGCTTCCAGACTTCTTTGTTGACTCCTGTTCTCTGGAAGGAATGTCTGTCCTCTCACAAGTTTCCTAACTCTATGGGGTAGCTCTTACTAACTCTATGGGGTAGCTCTTACTAACTCTATGGGGTAGCTCTTACTAACTCTATGGGGTAGCTCTTACTAACTCTATGGGGTAGCTCTTTCCATTCTGGCCCAGGACTCCCGTCTGCTGCCTGTGTTTGTTTTTGATTTCCATCACACTCATGGCGGAGAGCCAGGTTGTGTGTCAAGAGATGTGGGGAGATGCAATGTCCTCAGTAGGGTTTGACACCTTTCTCATTGCAAAGATCATGACTAGGTCCAGGCTCTCAGTCTCTCTTCAAGGCTTGCTGAGGCCTGGCTGAGATCTCTGGCTTGGGGGGGGGGGGTTTCTCATCTCCCTAAGCCCCTCCTGTCCCTGCCCTGACACATACCTTCTTGCCGTGTGCACACACATGCAGACATGACATTGCTGCCCTCTCTTTCAGATCGGCTGGTTTCCTTCGACATATGTGGAAGAGGAGGGCGTCCAGTGAGGGCAAGACCTGGCCAGGACTCACGGATGTTCTTGGGAATCTCCCCAGCTCTGAAGTCCACCTCTGGCTTCTCCATGGCTCTGGGAACTGCCTGCTAAGCCTGCAGCTGTTATGGCCCACAGGGATGGGGAAGGTGTTCCACCGTCACCTGCCCTGGGTGGCCCGTCCCTGGGTACAATCCTTGTACATAGAGGAAACCTGTGCTGGCCACACCCAGAGCACCAAGGAGAGGGAGCTCAGGCGATGTGGCCAGGTGGGTGTGGATGACAGCCAAGGTCAGAAGACACCGCCTGCCCCTCTGGTTTAGGTGTTCAGGAGCCTAGAGCTCAGCTCATGGAATGCCAGGGAGAGCTGGGGACAGCAGAGGGGGCCCTTCCTAGCCTCGTCTGCTGGGCCCTGCACTGATCTGCCTGTCTTTTCTGCTGCTCTCTAGAGTGGGTATCAGGTCTCAGGAGGCAGGCAGGACCAGACCGTGCTGTAGCACACACTAGGCCCGTCTGGGGTGCAGGGTGAGACAGCTTGCACAGGGGCCACCGGGTCATGCTGGCTCTGCAGCTTTCTCTGACTGCCTCCCTTCCCAACACGTCAGGGTCCTGCTGAGCGCTAACTGGGCAGGGCCCCTCTTTCAGGAGGGGCCTTTGGAACGATGACATTGCTGACCCACCCCCCTCCCATCCCAAATCAGTGGTACTGCTCTTTGCTCCGAAGCCTCTTTCCTGAGGGTCTTCCCTGCCCTGCTGCCAGGGGACACATCAGTGAACCCCAAAGGGCAGAGGAGAGAACCAGGTTCCCCTCCCCACTGCCTCTTTTCTCTCCAGGAGGCACTCTTGCGTCTTCTGCATTCCAAACCATGGTCCCTAGGGGTCTGCTGGCCTTTGCACTAGCCCTCACCAGGTATCCCCACAAAGACTCCTGCAGCCCACACACTGGGCTTGTGGCCAACCCAAAATAAGTGCTCTTGGGGTATCTCCACCCCTTTCCCCGCCTCTCTCCTGGTGCTTCCTAGCCATTGACCTCTGACTTGGCCAGCCCCTGTTTCCTCCGTCTATCTAGCTGCACAATCCTGGGCGAGGAGAACCAAGGCTAGGGTTTGAGACATTGTCCCTGCTGGAGTGGGGCCGGGACCTGCACCTGGGCTATTTTCCAAAGTTGGCCTCATGGCCTCCAGCTTGGTGCCCACACACAGCTTGCTGGAGGGAGGCACGTAGGAACTCAGAAGATGGAGAATAACAGAGAGTGAGACACCCTGGAAAGGCTCGAGCCGTGAGAAGCTGGTGTGGGAGCCAGAAGTTGGCTTGCAGAGAGTCGGGGGCACAGGCCACTTTACACAGCTCCTCGGCCCAGCCTGCCCGGTGCCAGCGCAGGCTGTGGGGAGGACTCTGCCAGCTCCTTCCATATGAACGCCCTCAGAACATCCTTGTGCTTTAGTTTTTTTCTGGTTTTTGTTTGTTTGTTGTTGTTTTTGTCCCATTATGTTTTGTTTTGCCTGTTTGTGTTTTAAAGGGGAGGGGAAAGTTGTAATTATTTCATCTAAATCTCCCATTATATATCTGTGAATAAGAGATTCTATAATAGCAAAATGATGTATATTTTAGTTTGTCATGATATAAGTCATGATAATGAAGGACACTGAGAAAAAGAGTAATCTCGAGCCCTGGTTTTGTGAGTGTTCTGTGTTTGTTTTGACGTTTGTGTTTGCTTTGGGTTTTTTTTTGTTTTTGTTTTGTTTTGTTTTGTTTTGTTTTTGCGCCACAGTGAGCAGGGTGATGGGAAGGCTGGGCAAGCTGGTACGCAGGCGCCTCTGCAGGAGACTGGACACCATTTGAGGGCTGAGGACTGGGGGCCTGAGATCAGCTGTGAACATTTGCAGTACAATGCATGCAAGTCAGGGATGAGGGGGTCCCACAGCCAGCAGCACCCCCAATGGAACAATTGTACATTTGCCAATGGGTTTTCCTCCCCAGACTACGGTTTTTACTACAAATAAACCTACGTTCTATTCTGCAGCCGTGGTTAACCTTTTGTGCCTGGGAGGGAGTAGCTGGCGTCCTAAGTTCTGCAAGGTTTACCCTACCCAAAGCCTGACTGTTAGATGGTCCCCTCTGCTTGGCTGGTATAGCATCCAGCAGGGTCCAGCAGGTCTTAGAGCAAGAGCCTTGTTCTTCAGAGATAGAAACAGTACTTTCTCCTCTAGGATGAATCCTGTGTCCTTTGATAAAGAAAACCTAAATGATCAAGTGTTGTCTGTCCCCATCACCCCCTACAGACAAAAGCAGCCTTAGGATCCCAGTCTCCCATCCCTAGCCTGTACTTTCTTCACGGTTACCTGGCCACCCAGTGTGACTCCTGAGGCTCCTAATGGTCTAACTGTGGAAGGAAGCAGAGGCCCCGTCAGCTCTGTAGCCAGCACCTTGTTGCGGGGCCACTCGTGGCTACAGTGATGCTCAGAAGCACACAGAGTGAGGCAGGCACATATCCACCTGGAGACCGTGATGTCCTGTTACCAAGGAGATGGATCAAGGCCACCAGGGTGGGCAGCCAGATGCCCCCGACATGGGTGCACTTTGTGGGTCCCTGTGAATGTTACACGCGACTAGGAAGCACTTGGCCAGTGTGGTTTCTTGTTACTCTTGTGGCCTGAGGCTATGGTCACACTACTGAGAGTGGAGGAGCCCACACCAGCCCATAATAGCCCTAGCACTCTGTGTGTCGAGGACTATGATTCCGTGTCCTTCCCATGTGCCCAGGCCAGAGGCAGGTGAACATGAGGATTTATGTCATCCCATCTCTAGCACCCTGTGCACGCTCAGACCCTTGTCCTGACATGCCTCCACCGCAGTTGGGTGTTTGGACATGTTCTTACCGGCCGGTGATGGCTTCGGCCACTGCAGTCTGCCGTGGGTTTTGTAACCAGAAGCCGTTGGGAAGTAGAGGACAGACCACAGGGGCTTCAGCCACCCACCAGCCAGCTCTTCCTCTGGGTCTCTTGCCTTGGTGGCATAAGTCCCCACCATGTGGGCAGCAGGTAGAAGAAGCAGCTCCCTCAATCCTGCAGCCCTTTCTGGGATATTCTTGGGTCCTACACTGTCCCGCTTGGGCCACAGTCCCCTGAGAGGCAGAGGCCTGGTTCCCAGTGGGCTCTGCGCCTTTCTCTTCTCGGATGATCTCCCTCACCTCTGCTGTGAGAAAAACTTAAGACTGAAGATGTGGGTACGGAAGCCTGGATCCTTGTGGTCCCAGACCTCGAGGCAAGGCCTGGTGATGGTTTTGTTTGTTTGTTTGTTTTTCCTGACTATTTCCTCCTTGGCTTGCAGTAGAAGCCTCTTGCTGTGGTCCCTGGTGGCCTTTCCTTGGCACACGTTTCTTTCTTTTCTCACGAGGACCCTAGCTTTGTTGGGTTAGGAGCCAGCGAGGACCTTGCTAACTTTGCCTCTTAGAAGACCCATCTCTGACAGTCCTCAGGAACCCTGAGGTGCCCTGGGAACCAGCGCTCATGAGTTTCCATTACACGGCTCATCCCCAGCCCTATCCACCTCACAGTTATTGAGCATGCGCGTCCTCTGGTTTCCTGTAGAAGAAAATGCAGTCATGACCCGGTGGCCAGCCTACTTGGCACACCGAAGCATAGCGCACCAAGCTCCCTGAATTCTGAAGTCACGTGAGTAGCCGTAGCTGGCCAGTGGATGAGTCTGCACCCTCTGCATCTCCTTTAATGCGCTTCTTCCACACAGGGTATATACTCATACCTGGTAGTGTGAGCATTTCAGTGTCCAATCCAAGGTAGCATACTAACCTATCACAGTTAGAGGTTTCTACTACGTAAGTGGTTGTTCACGTGCCATAAAGCAGACGCTGCTCCCTGACTGTCTCTGGGGTGGTTTCTCTCCGAGCCCTTTACTGACCCACACATATTGCTATCCTGTCAGGGGACGCTGGGGTAACAGCAGCAGTTGCCCACTGTCCTTTCGCTGGATGATGTGCCCTCCAGGATGACAGAGCCCAATCTCCCTGTGCTGGCTTTATGTCAATTTGACACACGCTACAGTCATTCTGGAAGAAGGAACCTCAGTTGAGAAAATTCCCTCACCAGATTTGCCTGTGGGCAACTTAGTGGTACATTTTCTTGACTGGTGATGGATGTGGAAGGGCCCAGCTTGCTGTGAGTGGTGCCACCCTGAGCTGGTGGTCCCGAGTGCTGGTAGAAGGCAGCTGAGCAAGCCATTAGGCAGCGCCCCTCTGTGACCTCTGCATCAGTTCATGCCTTGGGTTTCGGAGCTGTATCAGTTCCTGCCCTGATGTCCCTCAGTGGTGGATTGATTGTGCTGTGGAAGTGTAAGCCGGAATAAACCTCTTCCTCCCCAAGTCGTTTCTGTTGTGGTCTTTTATCACAGCAATAGAAGCCTGAACTAAGACAGCCTCATTCCAGATAGCCCCATAGAGAGAGACTTTGTGGGTTTCACCTTGCAGACCTTGTGGGGACAGTAGCCGTCTCTCTGCCCCCTAAGCTGGTGTGTCGACAAAGGGCACGCCACTCACATCCATGGACTAGAAAGAAGATGTGGCCTGGGATGGGCAGCTGGGAGCCACGGGTGAGGCGGGCCCCAGGACCACCTAGAAATGCTGTCCTTGAGCTGAGTTGGAAGTGATGGTGGCAGGAGCTGCCCAGGAGTGAGTGAATCGTGCAGAATGAAACAGGCCAGAGGAACCCCTCTGTGGTGTGGCTTACTGCCCTGCGCCAGGCCTGCCAGGGTCCACCCTGGCCCTCTTGTTCTGTGTGACTCATTGACGTCCCCTTTCTGGGCCAGCTGGAGGTACCTGGCTCCTGAGTCTTGCTGAAGAAGTTGTATTTGAATTAAGGAAGGCCTCAGTGGCCAGCAGAAAGTATGTCCTCTAACTCTACAGGTACTAGTAAGCACTCAACATGGTTTAGACCCTAGAATGTGCTGGGCCATGGCAGAAAGTCAGAGGAAAATGCCCTATGATTCTTTCCTCTCTTCTCCCCTTCCCCTCCCTCTCTCAGGGTGGGATACAACTTCCCATAGGAATAAAAATTCCTTCTCACGTCCCTTTAGGGGTGTTCTTCAAAACCTGTTATTTGTATATAATTGGATATCCCTGTATACAGTATCAAGACTATACTGTGGATAGACAGATACATTTTGATCAATTAGACCTCAGTAAAGCTAAAGGATATAAAGTTACAATGTAGAATAGCGTTGTGTCTACAACACACACACACACACACACACACACCCTTTCCCCCCTTGCCCTCATGTTTCTGCAAACTCATATTTACACAGGGGCGCTCTATGGGGCAGTACTCATCCCGGCTCCTGATACTAGTCCACACCTCGCATGCTGCCCTGATGGGGGTTGTCCCTCCCCTTCAGCTCCATATGAAGGCCAATCTGGTTGGTTGGGATTATGGTCTGCTTGAGAAGGGCCATAGACAACCCAGCAGACAAGAACAACATTTCTTATGACCAAGGTAGTCATCTATGGCTAATTTTGGGCTCGGTGATTGATGCAGGGAACTGTCTTTTTCTGCTCTTTGGTTCTCAGTGTGCCCTCCTGTCGATTCTAGTTATCACCTTGATGGGATCTAGAGTCACTTAAGAGACAACCCCTGGGGCGTGTCTGGGAGGGAGTTTCTAGACTGGGTTAACTGGGATGGGAGTACCTCCCTCGAGTGTGGGCAGCACCATCCCCTGGGTTGGGATCCTACACAGAGGAAGCAAGCTGAGCACCAGGATTCATCTCTCTCCACTTCCTGACTGAACGCAATGTGGCCAGCTCCTGCCGCCCTGCCTTCTCAGCGTGGTGAACTATGAGCCAAACTAAACTTCCTTCAGTGGCCTTTGTCAGGTATTCTGTCATAGCGCTGAGAGAGGAGCTCATCTACCTCAGGAAGGAGGGGCACAAAAAGAATATGCCTTCTCGGGGGCTGGAGAGATGGCTCAGCGGTTAAGAGCACTGACTGCTCTTCCAGAGGACCCGGGTTCAATTCCCAGCACCCACATGGCAGTTCACAACTGTCTGAAAATCCAGTTCCAGGGACCTGACACCTTCACACCAATGCACATAAAATAAAAGATAAATAAATCATAAAAAAAAATTAAAAAAAAAAGAATATGCCTTCTCTTTAGGGCTACTTTCTGGAAGTTTCACCCACCACCTTTCATAGTCTATAACTTGGTCATCTAAGGAGACTGGGTCCTGTTGCCATAGACGACGAAAGAATGGATGGGGTGGGGGACACGAGCAGCCAATCATGCCACAAGACTAGGTGACCTGGTGGAGTCCACAGGACAGAATGGGGAAGCAGTCTCGTGGAGTCATGTCTTGAGACAGAGAACCTTAGCCCTGTAAGAACATGTGGCTTGTTGGGCTGGCTCTCCAAGATCCAGCCTGCCTCATACCCGAAAGCTGAGTGTGTGTGTGACTGTGCTTCCCTCTCACCATGTCCCTTAGTCTGACTAGCTTTCGATTCAAACCAGGGAGTAGCATCGTTTTTCTTTTTTCTTTTTCATTCATTCTTTTTTTTCCCCAAGCCAACTGTTCTCGTTGGGAGGACAGGTTTTAACAGACCCAGTCAGTGCCTTTTGAGCCTGGGGTTTTGTCGAAGAGGTCAGCCTGGTGGCCTCGTTTCTAAGCCCCGGGTTTTTATCCCAACATGCGTGAGCGTGCACAGCCACTTTTCTTCATCCCTTTGATGAGTTTACTGTATTTACTAGAAGAGTCACAAATCAATGCCCTCCCAGGGTTGACGTACATGACAAAGGCAGGTGGGCCAGAGGGAGGATAAGCCTCCAGTTTTATTCAGTCAACCTAGCTGGGGAGCTTTTATCACTAACTATAGAAGACCTCAGTGGAGTACCACACTTAAATATGGGCACGGGACTTGGTGCCACAGAGGCATTGAAAGCAGATGTGTGGAAAGAAAACTCACCAGGCAGGTGTCAATAGGAGTCGGTACTGTATCAGCAGGTAGCCACTGTGACTGTGC